TAGAACAGAACTCACATATCAACTTTGTAACTGTCAACAACCTCATTTTAATGAGTTGAACTAACAATGCAAAATGTTATGGTTTTGTTGTTTCTGACATTGATGAAATTTTTATGATGGCACCGTTCAAAGTGTTGTAAAGGAGTATAAACATACATATATTTTGTTGTTTTTACAACATATCATGATGACATCATATCATATATCACGACGATATCAAGACATGGTTTGATGTGATAAACCCGTTATAGGTTTATGGCACTATCAAAAAACAACAAATTATATCAAAATAACGAAAGTACCTCAACAACGCCTCTGGACAACTATGCAGTCCAAAAGCTTATGTGGCACGGACTACGTACTACTTTGCCTGGCAGGACGTATCAAGGATATGAATATTGGAGCTAAGAGGTTGAGTTCATTGGATATAGCACCATTATTTACCAGTTTTCAGATGTAGGAACTGTCGGACACATTTGTGATAAATTAAAACCACGGCAGATGATTGCAGGAATCTCACCCGAAAAGGTTAGGGAATTACTGCTGACATGCGCCATGAATGTTCACCCTTTGGTTAACACTAAATCATATGAACAAGTATATTGGGCTGCTACGGGCTCTCCTCTGAGTCCTATGTAAGCGGATAACTTTTAGGACAAATTTGAAAACGACAGGCTTAGAGACACACCTGATAAACTAGACTACTGCTGCCGGTACATATATGATACGCTCATCACATGTAATAATTTCTGCAGTAAAGATCTTCCAGATGCCTTCAATCATTCTACCCCAGCTCTGAGCTCCCATGCAAAGAGGAAGGAGCTAGTAGTATGCCCATCCTGGATATCCCTCTCACCGTGAAAGCGAATATCAATATTAAGGGGAACCTTTTCTGAAAAAATACATGGATTGGTCAGCATTTTCACTTTCATGGCTTCACACCGATTTAGCATAAAGGAAACCTGGTCTGGTGCCAGGGTTACGAAATAGGAAACATGTTGTGGCGTCACGCACTTTTTACATTCAATAGCCCTGGTTTCGACGAGATTCAGCATTGATGCCTACCTTCATAGTTTAGTTGGACTCGCTAAGCTGAAAGCACCCAGTAAGCGTCCCCGCCATTCGACGAGCTGTTGTGGTACGTTCCTCTGACCAGTTAATTGGAACGCATCGTTATCTTGGCACGAATGTACCAATACATCGGAATACGCTGTTGCGTTCTTTCCTGGTCTTGAACCCGTGGGTGTATAACAAGTACGAATAATTGTTGATTGACCTGTGTCTGTCAAGTCTGCATGAAGACAATTTTTAGAGCATATTTTGATGAATGTAGTAAAGAAGAAATGGATAACCTGAAGATAACATTGCAGCAAAATGATGATGCGCTAAGCTTATTAAATAAGCACAGATTGAGACTTGGAGTAAAGATAAAAGAAGATAATATTGCTAAGGACGTCGCATGTCCCAGGCTAAGTTACAAAGGTGACATTGTCCCTGATATCTTAACACATCGGTTAAATAGATCGGTTGAAAAGACATTCAACGCAGCGAAAATGTTTTCACCTGAACCGAACCACTGCTGATACAGAGAACCAAGGATAAGTCAGCAATCATTGCCACTTCAATGTGCACTTATAAGTTCAACTGCTACCGTGGTACTATCCACGTAGACCTTACTCAAAGTGCTCTATCTACACTCACTCGTGCACATGTGCCATCTTGGTTAGGGAAAGAAATGACGAAAAGCTTAGCATTCATGGTAAAATAGATGTTATGAAGACGATTCAAACATGCGGACTGCTTGCAACGGAAATTTGGCAGTTTGCGCAACCTTGATGCCACTGATGGTGAAAGACGTGTGACTGCGAACGATCTTAACTGTAACACCGTATATGCTGGAGGGTGGTAGCTTCCTGTTCACTTCATAACTGCCGGAATCTTCTGATATTTTTGTGCCATTCAAGACCCGTAAAATGCTGTACATTTTTCAATATATACCAATAAGATGATACCTGCAAACTGGCTTCTCTCATGTTGAATCGATAACACAAGAAAGCAATCTTTGTTAATTACTACTCAGACGGTCCAATCCTCTCACGTCTATCAGATACTGGACATCAAATCAAGGTTGATCACACCCTAGTTGTGATATGTCGTGCCACTTGCAATCTTCCCAGAGGTGGGTGACTACCCACCCCATCCACGGCCGAAATCAAGGGTATCCGTGCAATAAAACTGAAACTGCGTGTTCGAAAGGAATGTGTACATCCACTTCCTCTACCTCGCTCCACTATAGGGTCGGCACGTTCTTTATAAACGTTCTCACCACAAACTGCACATTTTAATCCTCATCCCTTTCCCCGTCATTACATTTATAAACATTCATTCTTTCGTGCTGTTGGTTTTATTCCCTTCTTTATTCATGCCACTACCGGTAGTCACCATCAGCCGTGACTTCGCATTTCGCATTTGTTATTCTCCACTTCGTTATTGTATTCCCATGATTTTCACATCACTTGAATGTAACCCCCAACTACATAAATATCATTTGACCCTCAGCAGACACACGCAAAGACATTTATGCCCCAGCAGGTGCACATTGGTGAATCATTATCTATGGATTTTGCTTCCTCATCACGTAGCTATTCTGTCAATTCTGGTCTTATCGCACAACTAACGCACTAAACTAATTAACATTCCGCCATTCCAATCGGCTTGTTCTCCTTCTACCGATTACACAGTTTCAATAAAGTAGTAATCCCACACTATGCCTTGTTTTGGCTATTGTATTTAACTCATTCTCAAGAATTTACTATGCGTTTGGTAACGCTTTCACTGAAACATAGAGAAATTTTTATGACACAATACCGTGGTAGTGCTTGCACCAGAGCCTGACCATAATGGACCCCAGTCTAAGGAGCAGATGAAATGCGTAAATTATTCCCAACTATTTGGCTGGAAGTATGTGACCATCATGCAATGTGGATGGGGTTGTTTAACGCCGCACCTCAGTTTAATGTATAAATAAGGAATAATTGCTTCGCAGCCATTCCGTATCATAACGTGTCCGAACCCCTCTGCACAGTAGACGTTATCATCAGAACACATCACACTATTTGGAAGGGCAGGCTCAGCATACCTTGTCATTTGCATCTCTTTAGTTTATGGGGCACCCAAAGCCGAATTCGTGGAAAAGTCCCTATGTTACGCCTTGTTTTCCGAAAGCTTTGAAAGCAGCAAGCCATCTAATCACCTGTGGTATAAACTCCGTTGATGTTAAAGATGCATCGCTTATGTGGTTTACCTCTTTGTTCTTACTGGAATGACAGGCACTTGTCATTTGAATTTTCCTGGCGCCCTATTATTTCTTTAACGGAAGTCACGTCCATGGTGATGTTTACAAGGATAGGTTAACCAGATTATTGCGTCGAGACAAATATGATTTAAAATGTTTGGAAGGGTCATCTTCCACTTTTCCGTCTATCGGCTTCGGTTCGCCCTCACAGGATTGTATGCCTCCTCTTATTCCATCTTTCACATGAGGCCATACTGTAGAGGCCCCTTTGAGCGATATCTAAGCGTCAGAGTGAAAAGCTAGCAGCCTGGGTGTAGAAGTGCCATGTAAGTGAGTTGGTCTTGTCAATCTACTTGGACTACTGGCTGGTCAGTTTTTTTGCCCCATTTTAAATGCCAGCCAACTCCACTGCTCCGCACTGTTAAGGCTGCGTTCATTGTTTGTAGATCCTCCTGCTAGTTCAAGTATCGCCAAGGTCGCAACCATGTGCAAATAACTGAGAGTGGATTGCCTTTCTACGCTCATGGTGGTCCACGCTTTATCTGGCTTCCTTTTATCGAAGGAACCTGCGATATGTGGTTGGTGCAAAGGAAAACCATATTCTCCAGCTGTTTTACCGGCGCCACTGACGCTGTATGGAGTTTTTGTCTAGAGGTGCTCTGCTTTCTCAAGAGAGTCAGAATATCCACACCGCAATGGGTTTTATTTCTGATATTTTGCAAGTCACGTCGTTTCTCTTTATCAAGCCACCTTTCTTTTCTAGCAGTCAGTCCGCCGATGAGGCGACAGTCAGCGAGGTGATTTCGTTTGTCCTCTTGCCCCGCATGTGCAAATTATTGGGCTTAGTGGCCTGGGTCATTGCAGTATGCCTCCGTCCACTTGGCTTGGTTGTTCTGGATGCAAGCGGGTTCGTTGTGTGTGCCGTTTCTGCCATCTGTGTGAAGTGTTTTGACGCTTCGGGTGTGAAAGCCACAGGCCTCTTACATATGACCGAGACAGGTTGTCTACTGTGACCGGAAGCACCCGAGAGGCTTGCTTGCTTACGTGGGTGGGGTTTGGGAGCCCGTAGCCTGTGATCTCTGAGGATGTTACAGCTCTCTGAGGGCCCAAGCGGTTTGAGTGGGTATGTTTCGGCATTCCGGACGTATAAGTCACAGTCGCTTATATCTCTGTCTCGTCATGAAGTTGTGATACCGACACTATAAACCCATATCGCAGCCACAAGTAGACGTCACACGCAAAGGCTGCAAGAGCCATCAGCCGGCACATTAAAAATACTACATTATCAGTAATTTGCTCACTCTTCGCGACAGTGATTTCTGCTTTCGGAGTGCTTGTATCGAGTATCTCCTGCAGTCGACAACCACGTTCGCCTCAATTTTACCTTTTCTGCAGGATTTTGGTGGCGCATTATTATCGTTACGCCTGCACAGGTTTACGGGCCTGGGTAAATCCTATGTTCGGAAAGCGATTGAGATGAGGGCTGTGGATGCTGGGATCGGTACCACGCTCTACCTGTCTGGACATACCACTTTCCGCCCACCAGCTGACACTGTTATACAGGCTTCTGCTTGCGATCTAGTCTTGTATACCTTAGCAACCAAACTATACAATATATACAATTTGCAAAAATAATACTTTCAAATGGACAATGACTACCTCCAATGCTAAAATTAGGAAAATGCAAAGGAGTAAAACCGGACAAAAGGAACCGAGCCTCAAGACCTAGAAGTGAGAGCTCAGAAGCTACAAGTGTCTTCTACTCGTGCTATTGATGTTGGATGTTGTGGTTAACATTTTGCCGGATGTCCGAAGGTCAAAGCCCTTCAAGGTCACGTGTCGCCCTTACCTCTCTCATGAATATCTTTGTATTGGTATCTATCGTCTTATTTCTTAAAGCGGGAAATGGGGGATCTTTCGGTGCACCTAAGAAGCTGCCGCAAGATGAAGTTACAATGGAGTCATACGCTGCTCTATTAGCCAAGGTGGCAGGCAAGATCAATGACCATTATGGACTTCAGAACCTGCACATCATAACTAAGTTGCTGAACGCCACTTCTCAGGTTAAAACATTTTATGACTTATCTTGTTGCAGGTAGTTCAGGGAATAAAGTATACATTCTTCGTTGAACTTTCCCCCACATCGTGTACAAATTTTGATCAGGAAACCTATGGTAAGAAAATCTTATTTCTCACACTTTGTTTAGCTTCCGTAGATACTGCTTTTTTCAACAGAATTCTTGTGGCATAGTTTCTGGAGAGGTAATTAAATTTGTGGTGACGTACTTTTTTATTTTAAGAGTAAGGTGTGCAAAGCCACCGTATGGGAACGACCATGGCTTCCTTCAAATGAATCAGAAATAATAGACATAGTTCACTGTTCATCGAACAGTGAACAGATTTGATTTGGACCATCTTTGTTGGGATTTTCTATAACAGTGAGTATCAGGCTGCATATATCTAACAACTTTCTTGCAGGCTGCTTCACACTTGATTTCAACTCAGTGATTCCTCACTAAAATTTCAGCATTTTAATAATTTGATTCATACAACAAGCTTCAAAGACTATCTTATAACGATGAAATTCATTTTAATTCTGAGTACACCAAATTTGATTTTATTTAGAAATTGATTTTTACTTGCCCTTACCTATTGTCACTCCTGTCATTTTCCGATGACATTTTACACTCATGAGATCTCATTTTACTTTCGACAATTACTGATACTTAGTTTTTGGACTCGAAACTGTATATCTACAGTATTTTATGCATTCATTAAATACTTTTGCTATTGGTAACTGAGTCGTATTTATCTGGTAGTACTTGATTGATGCTTGACCACATACCGCCTACCTCTTGATTGTGCTACAACGCTGAAATAACTGAAATTTGGGCGCCAGGGAGATCCCTTATCACCAGACTAGTTCAGCTGATATTTGGTTGCTCATTTTAAGATCTGTCAGGTCGCTGCTTCATGCATTACCGATTTTGATGTTTTAGGGTTCAAGGCTGTCGATGCCCGTTATTATTCTCCCAGTACCATTCAAATGGATTACTTGAATGCGCGGACATCAATCTTTCTTGCATCAGGTCCCAATGTTTGTTGATCCTATGAGAAAACCAGTACTTGGTGCCGACATAGTTGTTTCTCGGGATTTGTAAGTTCTTGCCCTGTCCCTTGAAATATTTTAACTATATGAAGAGAAAAAGAAGTATATCGATTTCGAACTCACCACTTTAATATTCTGCGTATCAGCATCATCTGCACTTTCTTGGTATTTTGATGGCGTGGCACTAAAATTGTGGTCGTCATTGTGAACAAAGTAGACTTCATCTCAAAAATCATCCTGAGTGAACTTGAGTGGCTGAAACGTGGCCGCTGCCTACATCGTTTGAGGCCATTCCTTGAGATACCTGAAAAAGGAGGTTCAGTGCGTTACTGGAGACCCCAAGTGACATTCAGTTAAGGCAGGTCACGCGTGGACATTTTGTGTGGTAGTTTGGTTTTTTCTTCGCAAATCCGACTGCGAACTCGTATCACCGGCACCTCTGTGCTGTGACGTGAAGGGGGGTATGTTGTTTGTAGGACCAGCGGTTTCTAACCTTTATCTTTCACTGGAAAAGTCAGCATGAGCTTCCCAGTGCTGGTTACCTACCTAAATACTTTATTGCCCTTGCACGACTTCGTCTTAGAACCCACATCCTAGCGTAGAAATTTGCAGCATAATCGCGACTGCCTTTTTGTTTCGCCACTATGCAAGTGACGTTTCTGATACGGGAGAACCTCGAGCAGACAAGTGTTCCACCAGCATAGCTGGTTGTTTCACTGTGATGTGCAACCCCGATCACTACGTCAGAGTGGCAGCTACTGCACGGGGGAACCATCCTGACCAACATTTGCTACTCTGGTGTTTCGGTTAAGCTTATATATGACTAGAACAACTATTCCCTGAAATTGTAGCTCTTCAGGAACACCTGTTGAATTGCAATAAACGTTAAAGAATTTACCATCATAGTGTAGTGTTTATATATATATATATATATATATCAGCTAGTGCTGTTCCTAAAGGACTTCCAATGGCGACACTGTCAACTTGTTGAAAGTGATGACGTTTAAATGTGAAATGAAGTGTATCGGTACGTAGCAACAATGGCTCCCTCAAGAAAGTTGAATCAATAGGGAATGGGAAGTTCATAGAAAATGTATCGTCACAGAAAATCTCAATAGTAATACTATCCTGTTGCCTGGATTTCGGTTATTCGAGCGGCTTTCAAATCTGTCAACCAAGGTATCCGCTTACTACTATTTGGGAGATCTTAGGTACTAGACCAACAGACTTTTGAATAATTGCTTGAAAATACGTGTTTGTCATTAACTTTAGCGAGCAGAAACTACCAAAATGTAGGCTGACAAAAATTCCATGTAATAACTGAACAGTGATTGACAGCGAAGGTCAAAGAGACAGGAAAGGCAGTGGCGATAGGTAACAGTAGACAGTTATTTAAGTTGTCCTGCTAGGTGTTGGCAAAATGCAGAGTCTTCTGAAAGCGTTGAACAGAAATTTGAGTATGTTTAATATTCGTTTTGCACCTGTCAATTGAAAGATGATGCTCCAGGACTGGCCTGCAACCACTCTTAGTTTAAGGGTAGGGAGTAAAGTGCTGCTATTCAACGACCACTTCACTTACTTGGGGAGTCGAATCAGTGCGAATGGGCTGGTTGCTAGCAGAATCTCAGCTTGGATACAGAAGGCCTGTTTAGCATTCGAAGTAGAAGACGTGAAGTGCTTACAGGTTTCCAACCACAGGTGTTTTCGTAGTATTCCTCACGTTCGGTGGAATCACCATGTGAGCAATGCTAGTCAGGGTCCACTTGACAAGAGAATCCAGTAGTTGGAGACTAGCTGGCATGGCTCATAATGGATACCAGTGACGCAGATGTATCTACACTTTATCTTCATTTAGGAATAAAAAAATGAGAAGAGTCTATTTAGGACTCGCCAGCTGGATGTACCTGCACCTTAGTGAGTGGTGTTGTTCCCACTGGCACTCGGGCCCAGTACCCATGGATTCAAACACCAGGGCGTTATCCACTGCGGCACAAGATCTATCAATTGTGCGACGGACATCAGCTGTTGTTTATGGATACCTGTGATTTCCCCTATGGTGTACTTGGTCGAATTTCCCTATCTCTGTTGGCAGATGAGCCCCTGTCCAGATCCAGATGCCTAGATGCTGCTTGGATATTCATTATATTGTAGTCTAGTGGATATAGCCTAGTGGACAACACTTTGGGTTTTTAAGTGATAGGTACTGGGTTTGAATCTCTGTGGGAACAACACTCACTAGGGTTCAGGTACATCCAGCTAACTAGTGAATCCCAAATAGGACAAAATGCGTATCCTGGATTCCACTGCTGGCCACCAAATACACTTCAATATAATGGATATCAAGGCGGCATCTGCATCCTTGCCCATCTGCAAACGGAGGCCGAGCAATTCGACACAGTATAACAATTAAAAATCACAAGTATCAATAGACAAAAAACGGGGAGAGGTTCAGGGGAATGATGGAATTATTAAAATTAACATATGAATATTAATGGATTGTGAACTTGGTGATTGGACCATTCAACCAAAGGAGGTTAAGTATGAAGAGCTATTTCACACATAAGTCGTTTGAAATTCATGCTTAGGATACTTCCTCGACACGTTTTACAAATAGGTCTGAAAGATGTATAAACGTCAGTTTAACGATATCTGGATAAGAAGTTCCATAATAGAGGAGCTAGGGTATCTGTTACCAGCATCTATAGAGTTATAGGAGAAGAATTGCATTTGGTTATGAAGCCATTTAGGAATAAGCCGAAAAGTCATTGTTTACATGAGTATGTGAACCCTTAATATATATGATTACATTTACATCGATGAAATCAGTGGGACTTGAAATTATCATTATTATTTATGTGGTTATTTTTGTGTACCTGTGTGACGTTGTCCTTTTTTCACTCGGTGTGAATCTTTTCTTGATGTTACTTATTTTCTCTTGAGCTTCATTGCTTCATATTTCCCCTTTGTCTACAGTAGTGTAACCTCTCTGTGTTGGGTGATGCGGATCGATGTCGATCTCATTAATTTCAGCAAGTTTCTATTAGATGGCGCATATCACTGACTCGATATTTTAATTATATAGTGCTAAATACCAGTTTGTAATCTTACGAGTATTATCAAGTTGACGGTGCTTGTAAACTGGTATCTCATGCTAAATCCTTTTATGAGGATAGGAGTTATTATTATGTGATCTTTAATACCCCGTATACGCCGAAAGGTGATATTTTCTTGTTCGTTTCATAACTAGCAGGATCTTATGCTCTTTTAAAATAAGGTTTTTTGACATACCCTTTGTTCCATTCAGGACTAGTAAATTTTTGTAGAGTTTTCGACATATATGAATGCGATGATGCCTGTGAACTGGTTTCTCTCACATTAAATTACTAATGTGAGAATAAAACATTTCCTTATTGATTTAATTATTCTAAAATTTCACTGCAGGTAGAGAAACCCTTTCTCATATCCCCTCTCTCATTGAGTTTTGCGGTCGGTGGAATGCACTGTGAGCTGTATTAGCCACTTCTTCATGTAGCAGTAGCTTGGAAAACGGAAAGGCAGCTATTGGGCACTCTGAAATGGGCATCAACATGCCTGGAAAACCCCTAAAGTTTACTAGGTGATGTGGCTCGGAAAAGATCGTTTTTCTTTGATTTTGTGTTCGTTTCTGTCTTCCTTTGTTTTTATCTTCACCGTTGCTGGCACTCGGTTTATCACTTCTCCGTGTTGGCCTTACCGTCTTCATCAACTGTTTTTGTGTGATGCCTTCCTCTCTCTCTCTTCTTGAGCATTATTACTTTTACTTTAATTTATCTTTTCCTTTCCGGTAACCTGCAGGTTTGTTGTTTTCAGCACCATACTGATTGTAACACTACCATTGTTATGTCCTTGGTAATGATCTAGGTGAATTTCAAGCAAAGCTGCATCTGAATTTTTTATACGTCTCCCAGTGGTAGTAGAAATCATACACATTAAAAATCTAGCAGTAGTCAAATCACCTGGCATGTTAACCAGAACTATAAGAGGCTTGTGGTTCAGTATGATGCATCAAATTCAGAATAGGCCTTAGGTTATTCGGTGTGTTATCGAAGCTAGCGTGACGCAGGCAACTTTTGGACATGAACAGATATTGTTGATTGAACTCGCAGTTTTTGTATCTTGCGTTACTTAATTGGTTTTAACGTAGTTGGCAATGTGTAAGTCGTGGTATACTCTTCAAAAATAAGTCACATAATTCTTCCCGTATGCGTAAAGTTGTTCATATTTATTAAGTCTCTGGTCACTTCCTGATCTTGGTAGGTTGTTGAAATAATAAACGTCAATATTTTAACTAGTCATAATATTGACTTTCAATGAAAATGATAGTAGAGTGCTAGTCTACGTTGAACCCTTAAGTAATTTCCCTTATAAAAGTCTAGTTTTCCCCAGAACGCACCCACTGAAAAACGTGCTTTAACTTGTCACTAGTATTTAGTTCCGATGACTATTTGGTAACCACTACTCCATTCGACCGGAGCTGTGATAGGTTAGGACGAGTTTTCAGTTCGCGTGTGCTAAATGTTAGAAAAATGGGTAATCATATAGAAAATTACATGCGCAACTAGTTCAGTAGTTAGTCTACAAAGAGTTTCTAACATACACGGTGTCACTATTTCATAGTATTTTGTTTTGAAATAACCAAAGTACCAGTT